GTGTGTGTGTGTGTGTGTGTGTGTGTGTGTGTATAATGTGTGTGTGTGCGTGCGTGCGTGCGTGTGGGTGTGTGTGCGTGTGTGTGCGTGCGTGCGTGTATATGTATGCGTGTGCGTGCCTGAGCACATATTAGAGTCATATTAGATATACTGGTAGCGCACATAATATAGCTGCCTGCCCCCTCCCCCATGCGACCAGAATAAGCAGATCCTAGGTTAATAAACCGATCACAATTCGAGTTGCGACCAGAAAACTTTACAAACTGGAAAAGTTGTGCAATACGCGTCTGAGTTAGATAGAGGAACGACGGACAACAACAACGACGGACGACGACAAACATGCGTTGGCCATAAACCACCAAGTGGACGGATGCAATATGGCGGCGGACAGGTGTTACGGGTGGCATATAACAGCAGCTTTCCGCCCGTTGTGCACTAGCTCGTCTTTAAAAAAGGCCTTCTTTTGAAAAAATTTGCGGTAAAATACGGCATTAGAGTGCACTAATTTGCATTACGCGTGCACTAATTTGCATTACGCGTGCAAGGTAGATGCCTCGTGGACGTCTAGAAGGCAGTAGAAGTGAGATGGGGTTTGTCGTGTTTTTAGTCGTGTTTAGGCTTGCTGCCTATATAGACGCCCTTACTGTTGTACAACGCCTTAACAAAACGCGAGCAAATGCAAGATGGCGGCCGAAGGATGTTACAACATCGCAACGGGAGGGTGGTGCTCGATGCTTCACCCGATGATAATCATCGGGTCTCATGTTTACATGCATATATACAGCTGTGGCGTCATTATAACATCTTCTATCACTCTAGCATTTCAAGGTCGGTGGCAGTATTCATTGCTGCAGTGCTGGACATTTGTTCGTCTCGGTGCCACTCCGTATTAAGTATGATATCATGGACGTAGCTGCTCAGATGGGGCAAGGGACCAGCTGTCTCTGCCCCTAGATTTTTTTAATAAAAATAAATGAAAGCCTAATAAGCGCAAATAAACCACATAAAGTAATTGAATATCGTCAGTGTAGTCGCCGATGAAAACCTCGTCATTCCCTTACCACCCACTACCCCCAACCCGCTATGCACGTCGACTAGGAATTGCGTCCCTCCTCGTTCTTACTCAAGGAATCAGGAGTGTCATAATATAGATTATATCTATATTCTATATTCTCTCTCTCTTTCTCTCGCGCTCTCTCTCTCTCTCTCCTCTCTCTCTCTCTCTCTCTCTCTCTCTCTCT